GGTGCACGAATCGAGCAGGTCCGTGTGTGGGCCTGTGCTGTCTCGTGGCTCTTGGACACACCTGGGATTGCTGTTACCTGACCTGGCCAGAGGTAGTTTGCCATGACCAGCAAGGAGGCACCTGCTCGAAGGTTGGTGAGTCATAGAGGGGCGCAGCCTTGGGGCACAAGGACAGAGTGTCCCGGGACAGTAACCCTGACGACCTGATCAGGATCCTCCCCGTGGCTGGAGCCTGAAGAAGGGCTGTGCCAGGTCCTTGGGATGGTGATTATTTTTTAAAAAGAATTATTTAACTTTGTTCATCACCATTATTATTAAAATTTGACCAGAGAGACAGAGAGAGGGAAAGTGAGAAAGCAAGCTACCAGGTCTGGGACTTGAACCATAGCTGGCCATTGCGAGTCTAGTGCCTTTAACCCCCATGCCACCGTTGGCCCTAGGCCTGTGACTCCTAACACGCATGGTGTGGAGTGTGGGGCAGCAAAGCTTCGGGACCTACCAGTGGCTTGATATCTATGCACGACATTTCCTTATTGGCTATGTCCACAGTGAGGGAGGAGATGGTGCTTTGCTTTATGCTGTAAGGCAACGGGAGCCTATGTTAGCACAGGGCAGTCGTGCAGGAAAACCAAGGTGGGGCCACCTGCCTAACCCGTCCACCCACCCATCCACTTACCCATCCATTCATCCACTTACCCATCCACCCATCTACCTATCTACCCATCCACCCATTTACCCACCCATCCATCCATCATCCACTCACCCATCCACTTACCCGTCCACCCACCCATCCCATCCATCTGTCCATCCATCTACCCATCCATCTATCCATCTATCCATCCATCCATCCATCCACCATCTGTCCATCTATCCAGCCATTCACCCATTCAACCATCCACTCATCTATGCATTCATACACCCAGCCAGCCAGCCATCCATCCACCCATCTTCCCATCCATCCACCCATCCATCCATCCATCCAACCATCCATTTATCTAGCTATCCTTCCATCCACCCATCCACCCACTCATCAATCTACCTACCCATCCACTTATCCACCCATCTATCCATCCACCCACCCACCCCTCCATTCATCCATCCGTCCATCCATCCATCCATCCATCTATCCATCCATCCATCCATCCAGCCAGCCATTCATCCATTCAACCATCCACTCATCTATCCATTCATACACCCACCTATCCATCCAGCCAGCCATCCACCCATCTTCCCATCAATCCACCCAATCCATCCATCTACCCATCCATCCATCCAGCCAGCCAGCTATCCTTCCATCCACCCATCCACTCACTCATCAATCTACCCACCCATCCATTTATCCACCCCTCTATCCATCCACGCACCCATCTCTCCATCCATCTACCCATCCCTCCATCCATCTACCCATCCCTCCATCCATCTACCCATCCATCCAGCTATCCTCCCATCTATCCACCCATCCATCCAACTGTCCTCCCATCCATCCACTCACCCATCCATCCATCCATCCACCCATCCATCCACTCACCCATCCATCCATCCATCCACCCATCCATCCACTCACCCATCCATCCATCCATCCACCCATCCATCCACTCACCCATCCATCCATCCATCCACCCATCCATCCACTCACCCATCCATCCATCCATCCACCCATCCATCCACTCACCCATCCATCCATCCATCCACCATCCATCCATCCACCATCCATCCACCTGG